CAACTAGACAACTCATATAAATACTTAAATACATATATAGTAACTGAGGAAACGCCCAGATCTATACAAGCAATCATACTCACGAATTCGAATGTTTATTCCCTGCAAGGCATCGATCCCACTACGGAAGTAAGCGGTGCGGTATGCTAAACCGCTAGACTACTGGGGCCGTCAAATTTTGATAATATTTGGGGAAACATGTAATAATGTAAAAACAATATAGTATATTATATATATCTTAACCGTGCTTATACTTTTTTACGTGAACGGCCTAAATGGTATTTATATATTTTTATTGTTAAAGATACAAAGAGTTATTGTACCTACCTATAATGGAACAATGCTAAACCTCCAAACTTCGATAATTTATTCAGCGTTTAAATAATTTTCTCTTTCACAGTTTCTATTCAGTTGAACTTATAATACATAAATCAGTATTTCAATGAACTCCAATTAGACTAAGGAACAGAAAATAATAGCCAAGCCAAGATTGAAAACACTACAGAAGCTAAAAAAAACGATTGTGGGTTTCCTCTTTTTTATATTTCAGTACAATAAATAATAATATTTAAAAAGATATATGTCCAGAGTATATGTTATTATTATAGACGATTACGTAATGTATTTATTGGTTCTGCCGCAAAATCATTTGCTAAGAAAAAAACAAAATACGATAATTCTAGAACTCTATTACAAAGTAATATCCTGTATATCATATAAACGTATTAATTATACCTACCTATATAATATAACATATAAATTGTATAAGATGGTTTTTAGGTCCTCACTAATAAAAAAAAATAAGTCCGAGAATCGAAATCAGCCCTATTTATATAAACGGTATCATCGGTTAGTAAATATCTAATCACTTTAATAATTACCAAAATCCAATATACTTTACTTGCTAACGTAATAATAAAAAATATGCATAGGTATATACTTTTAATTATGAACCAATCAGAATGTCCATGGAAATGTCAATGTCATACGTCGTGTTCTGTCTATCCCTGGGTTCACTTCACATTTTATATCTACAAAAATATAATCTCCATCTCTAAAACTTGACACCAAACGGACAGCGCAAATGGGTGCCTCATTTTACAGCGAATCCCAACTTAATGAAATACCACAGATATTGTACCAAATGTCTACTGCTGTAATGACAAAATGTTTTAATTAAGTCAAAGAATTCCCAACAAAATTCTTACACTGATAACGTATAAACTCGTCTCTTAATTATTTTCAACATTGTATATTTGCTATGTAAAATCAAACTAAAATGTTCAGGATTTAGAAGTTCACAGTGTATTCACATTGAAAAATTATATAAAAGAAGTTCTAGTACTACATCCGTACTCTATAGAAGTAATTCATCTTACAGATTAATTAATTTTACTCTAAATGAAATTAATTTAATTAGATAAGAAACAAAACTTTATGTCGCCTTTAACTGATATGAAATTTAAGAGATTTCAATTCCACTATACTTTATTATATGTATGTGAACTGTTCTATATACCTATAGGTAATCTTTACTTAAATTGATTATTTTCTGTGAATACTTTTTCATTAAATATTGTATGCCCATGTATATAATGTTATCTGTGCCCATGTTATGTGATTTTCTCCCCTATTCCGAAACAAAAATATGAACTGTTAATTAATTACTACGTCTCAATGAAGGCGTTAACTGAATAGAAATAATCCGTAATTGACAAGATTATTCAAACAAATTCATAGATATTAAGAGTAATGACTTATGAACTTCAATATTATGCGGGATACTACCTACCTAATATTTACCATATAAATCTTGATGGATATTTGTATCTGCGCATACCTAAACAAACATCGCAACGGTAATATTCCGCAATCATTTTACATGTACAGTATATTCCTCTTTGAATATCACCAATTGAAAATTATATTCTTTTATCATACTTATATTATAAATAAGTAATATATTATGTAGCGCCACCTCATTACAATATATATACGATACAGTGAGGATAATCACAGAGCTACAGTAACATTGTCTTATGTAATGATATTGATCATGTATAGCGAGAACTGAATTTGTCATTTTGATTGTCATTTAGTTAATTATTCTTTACGATATTTTATATATATACATATGTATTAAAAATTCTATAGTATATATTATATAGAAAATATAGAGAGTGATATAAATTATATGTGTCAAAATATTCCGCTAAAAATTAAACAGTTACAGAATGTAGGATGTACAGAGGAATCCTATGATACAATTATGTCTGCAGTTTATTGCATTTAATTATATAATGAATATCATCACATAAAAAAATATACGAGTACAATAAAGCACATAGCGAAAAAACGGATGGAATAGCTAAGATAGCGCCTCAATTGATCGAGAACACGTTTACTCTATACTGTCTTCTGTAGATAATATAAAAAATGTCCTGTCCGCGACTCGAAGCTTATTTAACTTGCTACTTTTAAAGCATGCACTTCTAGGTTAGGTTTAAGTGAGAAATTTGTTTATGATGTTAATGCATAGGTAACTACTACGTTTAACCCGCAAGTTCGCTCGCATTGTATCATTTTTTTTAAATAAAAATATCATATGTTTTTGCGTGAAAGCATAATAAACATCCCTACTTTCGTATTTATAATATTATTAAGGAATAAGGATTATAAAATTAATGAATAAATACAGGCAATATAGCCGTTATTACAAAAAAGACTAATCCAAACTATTTATATGAAGTTTATTTGAATAATATTATTTCTATTTTTAACTAGATTATTAAAAAATGTCGAACTTGAACGTATCATATCCGTGTCAATCACAATAATAATGTCTAAAATTTAAAATATCTTGAACACTATACAATGACACTATACATTGACAATATACCTAAAGGTATTTAAAGTAAAATTCAATTTATATTATAGACAGTATATTATTATACAGTTTTCATATAAAAAAACCTTCATTAAATATTTTTTTAAATGTTTAATTCCTTGTAATTCTACTGTCATGTTCGAATCAACGAATTAGACTAGAAGAATGAGCAAGAAACTAAAAAAATACCTTTAATCGATCGATTTAAATAACACGTAGTATTTTTTTTTATTTGTAGTAGCAGTAATAAATCTAATTAATTAATTTTTATAATTTTCTCACAAAACCTTTTAATTCAATCTGCATATTTCTACTCCCTACCTATTCCTACTTTGTTACTAGCTTCAGATATCCACCTTAGGCGTTATCTTTAGTTTCAATTATATAAGGACAGTGCCCTCTGGCGTCAGGGATTTTCAGGCCTTCTTTGTTATAAACAAAAGCTTTAGTTATCGCTTGTAGGAAGCTTTGTGTATTTTCCGTTGTATGAAGCAATATCATTTTAAATGATTAAAATCCTAATTTACACACTTAATTAAAAAACAAATACTTATAATTATATGACTTCATGTTTCAACCATACAATATTATCTTGTCATTTATTAACATACAATATATACAAAGTACAATTAACATATATTAAAATTGGTTAACTATGTTATGTATAACCTATCACAAAAATCAGAACAATAGCTTCTGCATTTTTTAATACATTTTTTTATTTAATTAAAATATTAAGCAAGCTGGACTAACTGGCAACAGCTGGTTATCTTAAATAAATAAATGTAGTACATGACAACACCTCGTTATAATCACGTGATAATCCTCATGCATTAAAAGTCAGGATAACTCAAGATGCTTCCCTACGATACACCCTAACTGCTCTTCTATATTATCTCAATATTATATTAAATAGTATATATTAAATCAATATTTCAGAATTATTAGTATTTAAAACTCAACTAATACTTTTACTTTTTATTAATGTCAATATGGAAAGTGAAAACTATTATTTACTGAAAACTGTAGTAATATAAAATTGTATGTTGACATAATTTAAGAATAATAAGCTAATAATTATGTGGAGCCTACATCACAAACGAACAACGGTGGGTTCTCATTAATTACTGACACTTCAGGGTTCAGAGATCCATTAACAACCTTTATTGCTTCCTACCCCATTACTTCGCCTGATGTTTGCTGAAACAAAATGAAGTCAATAACTTGCACAATACGTTTGTCTATTCCCCACGTATTTTGAGTTTTCCTTTTCTGTCATCGCTTATATTTATGGTTTACCTTTTCATCACCACCATATTATTGAGATGAAAATTAATGACGTCATCTTTTAGTCTATCACTATGCGAAGTCTTATTGTGTAACAACTTAATAGATATATCTATATTTGTTGTAATTTAGAAATATTAATTGGGTATTTACAATTTACGACTGTCACGAACATATATTACGTAAAAATAAAACTTTATACTAGTCATATGTACATTCAAATAAGCAATTCAATTTATTGAATATTTTACTAAATCGAAAATTAAATAGAAAAATAATATTCTTGAATATTAAATTACCTTCAAAAGTTGAGAAGTTCGTTATCTGTTTCGAGGTACCTATAAAGCGTGAATGTTCTATCTAAACTCAACACTACGAAAATATGCAAATTACAAATCCGAATAACTTACCCCTACCCTCATTAAACCAGCTAATCTCAGAATATTACTTACTACAATAGGACCGATTTATTTCATTAATACATTAGAAAAATAGTCCTATTAAAACTAAATTTATAAACCCAAAAGTTTGTGAGGATCATTGTATGTATGTTTTGAATGTCCGTTGCTCTTGGAAGTAAAAGTACAGGACATATATAGAGCAAATATTAGATTAACACGTAGAATCCTTTTTACCCAAATACATACGCAATAATACAGCAATGCGATGTATAAACCAGCATAATATGAATGAGATTGCTGTAATAGTAATCAATTTTAAACAGGTTTATAGCACAGAATAGTTTAACTCATTTTCTAAGGTATAAAGAAATAATTTATACGTCATATAGACATGTAATTGCAAAGTAATTTTTCCATTGTTTCAGATGCGCCAATTTCTGGTTCCTGTAATACTACTCGCAATAATAGCGCTTTCTTCAAGCAATGTAATTCCAATTATGTCTTTATATCAACATAAAACAGAGCCATTCCATTATAGCAGCCAAGATGACAATATCCTTAGTAATAAGTTTCATAATAGAAATATCTTGAATGAAATATTTTATAATCAGCCAATGAGAATAATGGATAAAGAGAAATATCTAAAAGTCCGTAAACTACCATTACTGAAGTATTCCCAATGGGATAATAATGAAGACCATACCGATCTTAATATTATAAAGAAAGACGATAGTTATAATGGAGAAGGATATCGAAAAGAACAGTGGCACAACTATCCAAGACAACTAGATCGTCTTCACAAATACTTACTTAATAATGTTGATAAACGAAATTCGAATTCTGATGATACTGCAGACTACATTTCTGAAATTGACCCGAAAACCCTTGATAGAAGTAATGATTTGACAACCAACGAATTTCTTGTATATAATAATAACGATGACTCGCCAAATATATATGATACAGCCGTAGCAACTACTAACCCCTTTCTAATTCTTAAAATACGATTAGCATGTTTGAATAATAAACTAGAAAATACTGACTTTACTAGAGACATCGGCACTATATTGTCCGAAGCTCCTCAAAGTATTGACAAAAAAGAAGAAGAAAAAATACTTACAAATGACTTAAACCCCTCTATTGATGCAGTCAAGGTAAAACGTGAAAATTTAAATGAATCAAGAGAAAAAGAACTTACAGGTAAGTTTATTATGTATTTACGATAAATTAAATTTAAAAAAAGACAATGGTTAAGCATTGAGACAAATTAATAATTAATAATACCTTATTATTTTTAAATAATGAAGTCATACAAGCAAAAGCACATGCCACAAGAACATTACATAAAAGTACAATGTAAGACCTTATTTCACATCAATATAGGTATATCTCGTCGCCACTCATATTCAATCTAATACTAAATGGCTCAGATAACAGGGATGACGGAATGAGTAAAACAAATCGTCTATTACATCTATGTACAAAATTTGCAGCGTCGATATTTTTCTATTCGTTAAAAAACCTTATCATTATATTTAATCTTGAAGTACTTCTTTACATTAAACTATTTGTAAATAAAAAATATATTCATTTATGTAACTGGAATGGCAAACTGACCGACACTTCACCTGATGGTAAATGGTAACCGATATCTATACATTATCATATAGAGCAAGTTTCTTGGCGGATAAAATAGGTGAGACTGAGGTATTGACTCTTGACGACTTTGCACAAAGAGTACCTCGATAAAATCTGCATATTAATTATGTAACCTGCTTTTTTTCAGATAATGCTTTAAATGGAAAAAGGTCAGTAAAAAAGAGAATATTTTCACTTTGGAGTCGTCTACAAAGTCTCAGTCCCAAGGGCCATGAACTACATCATCGTCGGCATTTACAGGCTCTGTACGGCTTACCAAATGGTGATGGAAGTGGGATCATATCGGCGGAAACCAGAGCGACTTTAATGCGACCTCCAGGATCTCCCTTAAGATGGGGTTAAACTTGCTTTATTGGGTTGTTATTACTGATTATGTTCATAGTTTATTCTATACTTATATATAAACGGAGAAACAAATATCAGTTCAATGATTAATTTATGAATGCTTTATTTTATGTAAGATTAAGAAATTTCTTCTACAAATGAGCTCCTAAGACTAAAGTCTGAAGTTAATGATATTCATAAATCTTGCTTTGTTTACGAACAACGTGTGAAATGATAATAGAGGAATATATGAGAGACTACGCTTACTAAGATCTAATTATAATTATTTGCATATATATTTACTTACGTATTTCTCTTTTTTTAAAGGTGATGTAAAGGTTTGGAGTGTAATAATAAATATGTATTTTTTGTGATAATTTGTAGGTATGCATTTTTTGCTAAACTTTGATACCTCAGAAGTTCGTTACTTATTAAATACATAATAAATAGTTTATTTATTTGAAAGCATATTTTTACTTTCTGGGTGATTTCATAGAATTTTGATCGATATCAGACAGTAATTTGTTTCTTAAAGCGTAATATGGTATTAATTTAAAATATACTAATTCTATTACAATTTATTATATCATTTATATAAATACAATAAAAACTGTAATCATAATAATAATAAATATATGACTAAACAAGATAATACTCTAAAAATATGAATACCTTCTGAATGAGCATACCCATCTTCGTATATATTTGTTTTTGTTTCTCCGTTATTTCAAATAAATAATTTATTATTGGCTATGAGAAGTCAATAATAGCGGTATAATAATGTAATCCACGAGTGGATTTCATTAAGCTGAATAGTACAATAATATGACCAAACATGTTTATTGAATGTGTGTTTGGTATTAGTACACTTGTGACATATAATTGTATCGACTGTTTTTACAATAGGTACCATACAAATAGTAGATATAGTATTAATTATGATGCAAAATAATATTTACATAATAATCTAGTGAACGATAGATTTGTAAGTATTAATTTGACTGTGGAATTTTAGATAGATTAGATTATATTTTAATGTGCATTTAAATACTAATGCTTAGTGTAATATACATATATACCGGATGATTTTTTTTTACAATTCAACAATTCAGATAAAATTATAGCATATAATATAAAAGTAGGTTCAAAATAAGAAATTAGATTTTCTCTAAAAGTTCAGTAAATCCTTACGCACTCAACGAATTGTTTTTATTATTGCGACTATATTAACTTAAAGAAAAGTACAAATAAGTTTCCAAAATTTGGATAATTTTTAAAAATAATGTAGTATGACATTATATTTTTTTTTTAAAACACTGATTGTAAAATTAATTCTTGAGTAACTAAATAGCCTTCTGTAGAATAAATAACGTATCAAATAAATGTTTTTGCAATTTATTTATAAAAAATATTACGATTTATACCATGACACAGTCTTTTCAGCAAAGTAAAGAAAAGTCATCCGGTATTTATAATTAAAGTTCCATAGAAACTTTACTTCCACGCCTATTATATCTAAACGTAGTCGAGATATTTTAATAACTCTCATAATTATAATAATAATGAAATAATTACGTATATTATCATCATATATGTAAATAAATACCATGTATATCAGCTTTCCTGTTTTATTTCATAAATTCACAACAAATATAAACAATTTTATTTCTGTCATACCGTTTTGCTACTAGAGACATCTCTCTGTATAAGTAGGAACTTACAAGACTAGATCAATGAACTTGTCTGCAAACGTCAAACTGATAAAAATGACATTGTTGTCACTAAGAACATTCTGTTATCGCAAAAAACAGAATTTATATTGAAAACACCGCTAAGAACATATAGTATACTTTTTTGTTCAGTTAATAGATTCATCAAAATAAATCTTAAATAATGGTTGTAAGTATAAAGATATTTTTTTTGTATTTGTCATATAAATAAACTAAGTCAATCTTTACAAAATTTGTAATAAACAACTTAATGCAAGGAATTAATACAGTTAAGAAAACTATGTCTACTTAAATGGGGTCCTCAACAATCGTTAAAACATTTATAATGTTTTATAAATCTAATTCTAACCTCAAAGATATCTTTCAAATGTAGAATAGGGTTGTCAAATACTTTTGAAGATATTGTAAGTTTATAATATGTTTTATTATAATTAATGGTTAATAAGTTAATGAATAATAGAGTGTCTATTTATTTTGTGATAAAAAGCTTAATACCTATATGGTCATGGTTTAATTATCACTTAAGAGTTTATACACTTTATACACATTCCTAAATAGTTTTCCATAACTGAAATAAGGTTACACACAATAATATTAGTAGTAGATCTCGTAAGAATATACTCGTATTTAGCAGATCATATCGGGACGGAGACCTTGTTATTGAAAGTAATCTCTTATCGCTTATCGTATATCGTTTATTAACAATAAGAAATAACTACTAGGGTGAGAATCGAGCAATCCTGTATGGCTATTGGCTGTCTTCGTGTTCCTGGCGAGTCCGGGCTGCCTTGAATTTGAAAAACATTATATTCGAAGAACAAAACGTGGATATTGTAAAGGATCAGTCCCAACTCACTAATGAATATAAGACAATCAATCCTGCACAAAAAGTACCTGCACTGGTTATTGGTAAGCACTTTAACGTAACACTATACAATAAGGGGTTATATAATAATAATATAGGGGATTGTTAGTAATGTGGTCTGATGATCCTATTGACCTCCACTCGGTTCCCCTTAGAAATTTGTCATTTTTGAAGTTAGAACGATATACTTTTTCTTTGGCTTTTTTGGGTTAGTTTATTAAAAACCTTACTAATATTATAAATGTGAAAGTAATTCTGTTTGTCTATTTGTCTTGCTTACCTACACACCAAAACTACTTATCCGATTTAAATAAAATTTGGTACACAGATAATCCAAACCCTGAGAAAGGATATACTTTACTTTTTAATGTGAAAGAGTTATAAGGGGTTGAAAGGGTAGGTGCAAGGTTGTATGGGAGATACGTTATTTTTAAAGCTAGAATCTTGAAACTTATCTTTAGGCTGTTGATTAAATATAAATAAAGAAAATTATTGTAAAGGGTTGAAAGCAGAGGTGAAAGGTTGTATGGAAGTGTCGTCATTTTCAACGCTAGATGCTTGAAACTTATTTTTTAGGCTGTTCATTGAGTTGTATAGAATTCTGTATCGTCATTTTTGAAGCTAAGATGATAAAACTTTTCATTTGGCTTTTATTGGGTTAGGTCATTAAATATTTTTTTCATTATTTGGTCACTATTTTACGCGGACGAAGTCGCGGGTATAGCTACATATAATACGCCCAGACCTATAAGCAATCATACTCATGAATACAAATGATTGGACCGTGCGAGAAATCGAACCCACGACCATCGAAAGTAAAGCGGTGTGCTGTGTGGTTTACACCGGGGCCGTCATAATTAATAAATTTACCAATTAGGTTAATTATTGATCTGTCAAATGCAATGTCTGAAATAAGTTATTTAAATTATTTTGCCAGAGCTGCTTGGGTTTTGCTTATAATAATAAAGATTGTGGGTCCGGTATATTCCGGTTACGGCTGCTGATTAAATAATTTGTTTTTGACAAACATGCAATGCCAAATATGCGTATATAGTAATACTGATGATCCCATTGCTAGCAATCTACCATGTCAGGTTGACCTCCACGCGGTTCCCCTTAGAAACCATCGTGATAAATTCCTGGTGAATTTACCACGATGGGCTAACTGACCTGACCTCATGCTCATCCTATCATCCTCCACTGGTGCCCCACCAGCGTAAACCGTTAGCGTAAGCGGGTGAACCATACCATTATCATCAATTAAAAAATATATATACATTATTATGCAGGTGGTCACTACATTCTCCTTATTTATATTAAACAAGCAACTATATTTTTAGTGATATAAGTACGCTACGAGCTTATTTGAAAAGAGTAATAGTTGAGTTTCTTGTCATTTCTTCTTAGCTGAGAGCAGTCCGAACTGATGATGGTATAATTGACTTACATGAATAAAGATATTTTGATTCGATTTGAATATTCACGCACATGTATCTATATTTTATATCTTTTAAAATAGACATATGTAACCACGAATGTAACACGTGCCTAAGCGACGTAAAGGCAACCCATAACAATAAAATAGAAATGAGCCTCGCCTAGATTTATGAATAGCCTTTGCGCATAAAAGCCACCGAAAACAGATATATCATTGTATTAGTAGTATACTGAATATTTTATTTTATATCAATACTAAGAGTAATGTATATTAAAAGCCTATAATTCATCTCAGTTATTGTTGTAAACGACATATGTATAGATGAATAAATAACTCTGATCAATTAACGCAGTGCCATCTAGTCTCACGGTAAGCAGAGCTTGTGTTATGGATACTAGACAACTAATATACATATATTTTTTGTAAATCATACATAATATACCTACATAAAAAACACCCAGACCTATGCAAACAATCATACTCGTGAATACAAATGTTTGCACCGTGCGAGGAATCGAACCCATGACCATCGGAGTAAATCGATGTTCTAAACCGCTAGACCACCGAGGCCGTCAAAAATGTAGTAAGTAACAGTAGTAATCCGTTTAGAATTGTCAACAGTCGACGTCGTGGCGGAACACTTTAAATGGCCACATTTCGCTGGATATATTTGAATATATAATAACAGGGAGCGACTCTACAGTCGTCTCTTTATTTGAAATTGTTATCAGTATTTCCGTCAATCAGAAATAATGTAGAATTATACTGTGTGCATTGTAGCTTGGTGCGGTTGACAGTTACTAATTTTACATTTAGCAATTGCTACATTTACCTAAATTAATACAATTATTAATGATTTAATGTATAACGAATGGGGTACAGCTGAAATACTAAGTCATAATTTGTAAATGGCGGCAACTTTTAAGAATGAAACGAAACATTAATAAAACTGTCACCCACACCATGCTACAACACACATGGTATAGGTGTCGGCCTGGTTTGAGTTCAAGAACTTAATCTATGTCATGGTAGTAATCACTAGGCCCGGACGCATTTTAAATCTGTGTATATATGATTTAATTTTATATCTATACACTCGTAGTAAACAGTCAACATATTCCAGAGGATTATCTGCCTGTTTCCTAACTCCGAAAACCGATAACCAATAGGGGGAAAGGTTCGTAAGCAAAATGTCATGGCAGCAATAGATAAAGGACGATAGAATACTTTTTATACAATTTTTTACACTACAAACGCGGCAAACAAATTATCATAGCTCTGTAGTACAACAACTACAACTGATAGAAATCAGTTACATTTCATATTGTCAATATTATATACAGGTAAATTAATTTATGGAAAATTATTAATGAGATTAGAATGGCGAATTAGTTGGCGGTCCAGTGAAACGCAAAACGGTGGGGTGAAGTAAGTAATACGAAGGAGGCAAATAGAATAAAGGAATCTTATATTTAACTGAACTAAAGATATTTTAAAAAATATATTGACCAATAAACGCGTTACTGTAGCAAAGAGTTACAAATTGCAATATGCTTAAGAAAGGATTTAAATTTAAAAAATAGAACCTAGTATATAACTATTTCTATTTTTATATTTACTATTTAAAATTTAAAGTATATATGTAGTATATATGTATAGTATGTATATATATTTTTTAGAACGAAAAGGAAAAAAAATATTGTCCTTTTTTTGGAGTTTTAGGAACATTTTGATCTCGAATTTCACACGAAACCGGATGATGGCTTAATGGATTTTCGCGGCGGTTGTAGCCGTGGGAAACAGCCAGTAATATAATAATAATATGTGGGAGGAGGATGTACGTGTATATGATTTAAAATTTCGCACACAAATTTCCCCACATGCTTTGAATATAAAGAAAAAATCGTAAAAGGATCAAAAAATAAATTTCCCCCGACAAAAAACAACATCCCCTTTACGAACAGATTCTATTCTTTGAGATAATATCAATAGATATTACGAACGTACAAATGAAATTTGCTTCTGATACTGTCAGGCACACATTTTCAGCGTTGCAAAATTATATATGGCGTTAGATAACACCTTTATATGTTCATATATTGAAAAGCTTTTAATATACCAATATAGCTTTGATTTTCACAAATGGGTTCAATACATTCTCGTACCACTTCTCAAATACAGGGGATGTTTTTACATATATAACTACCAAGGTCGAGTGTGTAAAAAGTCCGCTGCGTGTGTACTTCAGTGTCACCTATTTCAGCCGCCAAGCTTTGTAAGCTATGTTACAGTTGTAGGTTGAAATTAGGCAGTGAAATTACAGAATAAGCATCATGGTATCGTTTCTTATACCTCTGGAATGGCACTATTACATGCGTCACATGATATCCGTAGCGCTGTTCATGTGTATAGATGAACGTTACCACTTACCGTCAGGTGAGCCGACAGCTTGTTTGCCAGATTTGGAGAATAAAATAAATAAACTTTTGAACATATTCAGCACAGTTGTGAAAAGAGCACGTAAAGACGTCAAAAAAAGGTAAAAAGTCTTTAGACTGAAGTTACGAGTTCAATTTATTATTATGTAGCGATCTCATAGTAGAGATCAAATGTTTTCAAAGTAGAACACCTAACTAAGCAAGCATATTATTGTAGTCTCGTTTGTCGTTGCGTTATTCATTTATTAGTTAGGTATATAAGTACACAATTATCTCTCAAAATAGATCACAAGAAATATACATATAATAAGCTCCTACAAACTAAACAAAACGAATGGTTTAAAGTGCAGAAATCCAAATATATAAATATTATTTTGTAGTGAATTCTATAATCAACCTATATATAATGTCAACAGATTCCGGGGTTTACTCTTTTGGAAAGTCAAAGAATAAAACGTGAATAAGGACTGCCTGAGGCACACAGGCGAAGTTAGGAGTTTACAACTAATGAGGGCCTATTGACTGGAGAAAGTTTGCGTGTTAGCAGAACAAAAATCTCTCCGGTATTAATATTGTTCTTTTCTTGTCTATTGGCGAGAAATTATATATACATATATGAATGTAGAATGTAATGGGCTAATAGAAAAATATAAACAGTATTCAGTTGCTATATTATTGAACATATGTTGTATTTTTCTAAATTCTCCACATATGAAAATAAAACATAATGATAATAATAATAAAGCGTAAATAAATATGCGTAAAAGCTGTGAAAATGAGACCACAATAATAATAATAACTGTGGACAATTGACTAGGTAGCACTATGTGAATTATCCTGGGTTATTATAAACAGTATATCGTTTCTAAACAATTTAGACTCGCCAATGACGTCAACATTATTTATATTTGCATAGATATGTTAGGTATATAAACAAACTGGGAAATGATGCCAACGTTACATCCAATTTGGGTGTGCAATGTGCACATATTGAACTCAATAATCGCTGATGTCATCGCTGAGAACAGCCCATCGTTCGCAACAAAAGGCCCTTGTTGCGATGGAGAGCACACTCAAACAGCTTCCCCAATAACCAAATCGTTAGCGCATTGAATTGACGCCTACCATATAATTATATTATTATTACACATTTCGAAATATTTATCAA